GATAACTTAAATGCTTCATGAAATGTTCCTTTCATTAGATACAAATATAATGAAATGTTACCATCAGTAAGTGTGAAATGTATTTATTTATTTAAAGGGGTCATATGACGTTGCTAAAAAGAACATTATTTGGTGTAATGAAATGTTTATGCGGTTTAAGGTTAAAAAAACATTATTTTCCACATACTGTACATTATTGTTTCTCTATGCCCCGCCTTTCTGAAACGCATCAATTTTTACAAAGCTCATCGATCTGAAAAGCGAGGTGTGCTCTGATTGGCCAGCTATCCAGTGCGTTGTGATTGGCCAAATTTTATTCACGTTTGAATCGTCAGTGCAAATCCTTTAAATATATAAATGTACTTACAGACTGTGAGTCAGCATTATTTGTCAGAACACCGGCATTGTAGGCTACTCTCCCAGGAAACAGTCCTTGTCCTCTGTAAAATGTGCTGCACACATCTGAATATTTGGGTTGAAGTGTTCTGGAACAGTGTTGTAAATCCAACTTAACCACTGATTTCTAGTCGTGTCCTCTTTTGGAAGACCAAACAAAGTAGTTTCACTTTCACAACGAAACACACCGCGAAACACAACATATTGGCAGCGGTGGCAGCAACAATAAAGTTACGCCTTCTTTCTTTGCGTGAACATTTAGGCGGTGTTATGCAAATCTTACCACATAGTGATGTAGACATGTGGGGGCGTGTTTAAACGAGCCGTTTTAAGAGGGCGTTGACCAGTCTTAAGTTTGATAAAGAATATCTCTTTGGATTTGAGACTTTAGTCTTTGCAACTTTAGGGATCTTATCTATGCACGAACAGCTTGTAACACTCCAAAGAGAAAGGAAAACTTGAAATCGCATCATATGACCCCTTTAATGTGAAAAAAATACTCTTCAGGAAAATACTTAATTGTTTGGCAAATGGCAAAAAAAGAAAACATTTCGATGTCGATGTTGTTATAACAAAGTTTTATTGGTTATACCATTTTTATTTATTTGATTATTTACTTATGTGAATTAAAATACATCTTGTCATGTAATATAGTAAACTAAATTATATATAAGATGAAATAATTAAATACATTGTATTTTGTATTTAATGATAGGAACACTTCACCATGTATTTAATTACTTTGTCATATATTTAATTTAGTCTATTATATTACATTACAAGTTGCATTTTATTTCACAAATAAATAAAATGTTAATGTCACACCTTGTTTCTGGTCACAATTGATTGTGAAGTGTTCCTATCATTAAATACAAAATACAATCAATTGTGACCAGAAACAAGGTGTGACATTAACATTTTATTTATTTGTGAAATAAAATGCAACTTGTAATGTAATATAATAGACTAAATTAAATATATGACAAAGTAATTAAATACATGGTGAAGTGTTCCTATCATTAATTCCACACCTTATTTATGGTCACATTTTACTGTATTTTAAATAAATAAATTATTTAAAGATAAATTAAATTTTCTATTTTTATTTTATGTGAAGTAAAATACACTTTATAATGTAATAGACAAATTAAATACATGAAATAACTACATTGTAGAGTGTTAAAATACAATAAAATTTAGAATTAATTAAATTTAATTAACATTATTTACATAAAATGTATTTTATTTATGTGAAATAAAATACACCTAATTTTAATATAGTAGACTAAATGAAATATATGAAAAAATAATTAAATACATTGAGTGTTCCTGTTATTAAATAGAAATATAATGTGAAATTAATTGCATTTAATTCAAATGGAGTTAAAATGTATTTCATGTTAAATAAAATACATCTAATTCAGTATAGGAGACTAAATTAAATATATGATAAAATAATTAAATACATTATGGAGTGTTCTTTCATTAAATACAAAAAAATGAAATTAATAAAATGTTATTAAAATAAAATTAAAAGTTTATGTAATAAAATACACCTCCCAATGTATATAGTATATATGTAATATTTATTTAGTCATTTATTAGATAATATAATATAATAATAATAATGACCAATAAATCAATAAATGAAGCGTTGCGACTGATAAATAAAAATTCAATGAAATGAAATGGTCTTTCATAAACCGATACCAACAGTCCTCACAGTAATTCATAATTCAGTGATTATGTGAAGTTCAAGAATTGTGAAACTTTGTTAGTAAAGCCATTCCCTGTAATAATTTGTGATGCAACTGAATGACATTAAAGAATAAAATGCTTGGAAACATTTTTGGATCCAAAGTATTCGAGGAGAGTTTGATGGTGAATCCTGTGATAAACGGGGGTTTTTTTGGTGGTGGCAGAATTAATTTATTGTCATATGAACAAAAAAAGACATTAAGACAATATTGTGGACTTGGTATGAGGTTTTACACTTTATGACATTTTAGGTTTGAAATGTTCTGTTGTCCTGAATGTGGATTTGTAAAAGATATTTATCTGGATAATTTCTTATATAGATATGATATGGGGATCACAACAAAACAAAAAAATAAAATAAGAAATAGCATAAATAAATCATGATTGGCAATAAAGTTAATTTGATTAAATAATAATTTAATATATCTTAAGTTTTTTTTCAATCCTGCTGAAAAACTCACCAGCTCTGAGCTGAGCTCCTGTTTAAGTCTCTGTTTGTCTCTGGGCAAAACTGAAGGATCCTTAAGACAACGAACAGCCTGAGAGATCAACACATAGAAGCAGTTCTCCATCGAGAACATCAGCAAAGACCTGAAACCACAGAGAAAGAGCATGAGACGACCTCGAGCTCAAACCCACACCGGACTGTAAACATCACAGGAGTGTTTCTGCTCACTTCAGTGCTTGAGTGTCCTCAGAGACCACAACCGGCTCCTTCCTCTTCTCAATCTACAAACACAACAACACAATCAGCATATAAACAAACAACATTCATTACACCAGAAGAGCTGAAAGCGCTGCACTACCTCTCCCAGCATGCTCAGCGCCACATTAATGGTGGCCATGAGAGTCCCAAACGACGGAGCCACATCAGAGTCAAAGGCAGGAGTGGTGAAACTCAACACAAACAGCGTCCTGTCCTCTGCAAGATCCATAGACTAAATACACAGAGAAAAAAAAAGATGTTAATTAAAGCTCCAACCATGAAAGCTGAGTGTTTCCAGTGATTTGATGTGACGTGTGAATGCATGTACTAGGCTTGCTGCGATAGGTGCTGACGGTGATACCGGTGTTAAGCCGCAACACCGGTTACATCACTTGCCCATCGCGGCACCGACCACCACTGTTGTTTTGATTTTTTTTTTTTATAGTAATAAAAATAATTTAGTTCAGTAAAAGAACAGACACTACGATTAAAAACTGAACGCGGCTGCTCAATGCAGTTGAATGACAGTCGCATCACAGATCAGATTTCATTTCTCCAGTGAGGAGAGTGAGTCGAGCTGACAGACAAGAAGAGTGAGGCGAGACAGACGAGAAGAGTGATATCGAAGGTGATTTTGGAAGTTTTTTTAAACATTCGTTTCTTATTTAATTGTTTCCACATTGTTTGCTGATTTTTACTTTATTTAAACTTTGTGCCATTTATTTATTTTATTTGACATCAAGGTGTATGCCGTGCCTCCAAGCTTTCTTACTTGCTTTGCTAATAAACGTTCTACGTTTCTCATTTATTTGGTTATATATTACTTGTATACATGTAAAAAGTATACATGTTTACTTGTTTCCAGTTTATTCATTTAAACTTTATGCAAGTTAGGCATAGCCTGCCCTATAGCATGGCGTATTTTTATTCGTTTTGTTAATAAAAGTTCTGTGTTTTATTGTTTTATAAAAGTGAGTTTGACGTTGTATGTAACTGCCGCTAATTCGAAAGTGAAAGTAAAATGCGCACGGCGCTTTTAAGCTATTTAAAAG